TATTAATTAGGATATTGCGGTTAATTGTACAAATGACTCACGACACGAACGTTGTAAATTTATTAGGAAGTTCTCGAGTAGGTTTCAGTTTTTGCAGTGTTCTATAACAAAAATGATTTCTCCAATGTTTGGTTTAGTATTTGCATTTGCATTTAGCAACACGCTAGCTAAAGTCAGTTAACTCACTACGCGTATATTTTTAAGGTAGCACGTATGATTGTAGGAAACCTACAAGGCGGCCGTGGTGGAATATCATCCAGTTAACAGTGACAATGCGTACGAAGATTTTTTCACCAACGTCAGAATGTATTTAAAGTACATCGAGGAAGCGGCTTTGCAGGTAAAATTAAACATTGTGTCTTTTGGTTTATTTACGCAACTTTAGGGGGTCGATATAATCGTGTTCCCTGAAGATGGATTAACTGGCTGGATGTTGGACGATAAATATATTCCCACATTTGCTACCGAAATTCCGGATTCTGATAGTGGAGTTTCCCCGTGTATCGATAGAAATGGTAGTTATTCCAATGTAAGTAAACGTTCTTCAATATCATGTCTTTAAGGCCTTCTCTATTTTAGTATTTAATCAATTTATCCTGTGCTTGCAAAAGGAATAAAATATATTCGGTGGTTAATATAATTGAAGTGGTCCATGGTAGTGATGGAGAAAAAATTTATCATAACACGAACATTGCTCTTAATCGTGCTGGAGTGGTTATTGCAAGGTATTTCGCTGTAATATAGTCTCCTTTTACATATTTATGCTTTAAAGGTACCGAAAGATAAATTTATACGATGAAGTATTTTATAAACCCGGTGAGCATGTACTCAGTACATTTACAACTGATTTCGGGGTGACATTTGGAATGTTCATATGTTTCGATGTGGTATTTAAAAGTCCTGGATTAGATATTTTGCAAAATACTGAGGTCACCGACATTGTGTATTCAACAGCGTGGTTTGCTCGACTGCCCTTTTACACAGGTGACTTTCGATTTGAGTATAAAGGATCTTGTAAAAATCATTTACTTTAGCAAATAGTGTACAACATGGTTACGCGAAACTCCACGGTCTCAACTTTTTAGCAGCGGGGTTAAATGACCCAAAAACTGGCACGGGTGGCAGTGGGATTTATCTTGCTGACGGTGGTATACTTACCGTTTACATTACCGGTAAAGAAGAATCAAAACTAATCATAGCTAACGTGCCCAAGATAAAATCCAGAGTTGATTTATCTAACACCTGTCAAGTACGTTGTACCTTTTGATGATTTTTCTATCTTACCTATTTCAGCATGCTGGTGCCGATTCAGTGAATTCACATTCCAGTGACGTGCATCTATTCTTCACAAACACTACCGATTTGAGTAACTACACAGTACAATCCCTGGATTTAAACGATTTAGAAGTTAGTGAAACTGTTTGTGCCAAAAATAGTGAATTTTGTTGCACTTTTAATGCAACCATGAAGAAGTACTCACCATTACCCAACTACTCATATAAGTAGGTATAGGTTAGTCACGTTAGGCAACATTATTAGATCCCATAATCTCAATCTAAAACCAAAGCAATAGTGAGTACTATTATATCCAGTGTTTTTTAGGTTAATTGCGTATAGTGGGGTCAGCGCGATATCGACTACAAAAACCATTGGGTTAAAACAATGCGCTCTAGTAGCATGCAGCGAAGATAACATTGCTTCTTGCGGGCAAAGGAATAAAGGATTTCCGAGCGGAATCTATTTTGAACATATATCAGTTTCCGGAACTTTTAACACCAACGACGCCGTATACATGCCATCAACCGTGACATATGATCTTCTTCCAACCAATCGATACGTGTACTGCAGGAAGGTTTCCGGTAACCAAGAAGAAGTAAGCATGTATACAACGCAAAAACTGGATTCCCTTTTGACTTTTGGCATATTTGGTAGAACATTTAAATATGATGATCATACTCCGGGAATAATTACTGATGCGGCAAGTCGTAGTGGTCACATATCGTATATGGCATGTTTGCTTATTTTATTTTGTTCCAATTGTTTGTGGATAATATAATTGTCGCTTTGTACATAGTCAACTGATGGCAAAAGTGCATAAGCGTTATATAATTTTTTTATGTACCATTTATCGCAATTGGAAAACCCGCCTACATTTTTTACAGAAAGATTGAAGAACTGCAATTGAGTCAATTACAATTACAATAACTTACTCTCGTTTGATAAGTAATAATCAAATTCACGTTATACAGGGTGTTATCTAAAATTGTATTGGAAACCATTGCAAATTCCTCAAACTGGTAGGTACAAAAATTGCCGGTGTTACTAGACTGGTCAAAAAGCATAAGTAAGTATACAAAGGTTTTCAGTTATCATCGACATATACCTAAAATGAATGGCTTGCAGAAAGAGAAACGACACATGCAGCACATTACAATTTCAAAATGATTAATTATCGATGAGCTTTTGTTTAAAAAAACCAAAAATTAAGTTACGAAAAGAATGAATTTATAGCTATTAAGATAACCAGGTGGTTTATAGGTACACGTACTGTAAAGATGATGCCTATTTTTAATCCGAATGACCGAAGGGAGCGAGGTTTTAATGAGCATCCCGTCTGCCCGTGTGCTTTCATCTCGAAACAATCCTGGGGGCCTTAAGCGACTGAAAATGGTTGAATTCCAGAGTTCTTAGAATGATGTTAAGTTTTCATGACGTTTTGAGTATATACCAGTGCTTTTGATGCATGACAGACCATAAGTTCCATCTTCGAAAACTTGTTCACCACATATTATATACTTGTGAGGGACATCGATTTTACTACCAAATCTTAGGGCAGTACAAATACGAAAACAATATTGTAATCAACGAGTAGAGTTTGCTGGAAGGGTATTGAGCCATGCATTTGCTTCTAGACAACGGAAGGCATTAAAGCGTGAATGACTTGAATCGGAGTTAGGATCTAGTCCTTCGACAATCTTAATGATATTGATTTAGTCCTAATTTAGTTGCGTTGAGGAAATTGACGGAGTTAACTCATTCCACAAATTCATACGATATCCAAGTAGAGTCTGAGTCTTGGAAGGTTTAATTTATATTAAACACAGAGCAACTTAGAGGAAAGGACGCGCAAAATCCAATAACGAGAGTTTTATTTTTTGACGTGGATTCTGGAATTTTAAGAACAACGTGTTGTAACGGATGTTACAGATTAACCCTCCTACTTCTTGTGGTTGATAAAATTGTGTGTGGTTCTTGTTGTATATTTATATTAATATGCCTCGGCTGCTCGTCGGTTAATAATCCTCTTCTCGCCTCAAGAATAAGAAGTAAAGGATAAATAATAAATCAATATTGTGCCGGATCTCATATAGCACTGAGTGCAACTCATCGATAAAAAATGGTACAGGTAGAAGGAAAACATCGGTGTCTCTTGCTGAAACTACAATTGTCTGGAAGTTAACGAGTTATCTATTCTTCTCAAGAATATCTGACGGAATTTTAATTCCAGTCATCATAGAACTTTACCAGTTCTGATTTTTGACCAGTTCGCAGTGATCCATCATGTGAAGAATCTCGTGCTTTAAAATAGAGGGTGGGTCAACTGCTATTCCTAATAGGCCATTATCACTCTTTGAAGCATGCTTATATCGTCCTTCCTTTTTTTACGTTCAGTAACAACCTCTTTGTTTTGTACAAGACTTTAAATGTTAAAGGTCGATTTAGTTTCACCTTTTCATGCAAACTAATAGACTTTTTGTCACCAAGGCGTTGTTCCACAAATTCACAAACATGTTTTCTTCCCTCTTTTTCACCAGTGAGTAAACTGTCTTGAATAACTTTAGATGCAGTATCTTTTGAAACAATGTAACGAAGAACATTTGAATGTTTGGGGTCAAACACTTCAAAATCAAGCAACACTTTTAAGATATCTTCCTCACCGCTTCGATCTTTGGTTTTCCGTGCCAAACATTACTTTTGTTTTATTGCAAATTTCACCCAACCAAGGGCCCAACCGTTCCACTGGAAGCTTTGGCATCTGCAAGAATCCCCTCTTGGGCATGGTCGGGATCAATACCGTTAAAAACGCCTGTAGATCGCTTTACTGCAAACTACCCTTTTTTAAATGTATCAAAAATTTGTGGAGAAAGTTACTTCATTTCGCCAAGGTAACTGTCATTGATTTTAGATAACTATAACGGTCGTATCTTGCAATCATTTTGGGAACCGTTTTGTTTTATTTTTTTCGCAAATTGTCACTAATAACAATGATTGGTAGACAAACTCATTTTAATCCATTTGTACCAACCCCATATAAGAAAATGCAAGTTTTCTTTGCAATTAAAGAACACAAGTTTCGACTGCCATTTTGATCACCATCTTGGTTTTTTGACTACACATTTTTTATAAGATAGTAATAAATACTAAATAGTATGTACTAGATAAAAATTATGATAATATCTTTGTTTGCAACAAGAAAAAAATGTTATGACGTGTTTTAGTTGCCATTTTGGCCGCCATCTTGGTTTGGGACTTTAACAGCCGGATTTCGAGGCGTATTCAGCAGGGTCCAATTATCCTAAAAACACTCAAGATTTGCCGTTAGAACTTAAGATCTCAAAATTCTCGTATGAACTACCATGAAAGGTAAAATAAATTGTAATTTGATTCTATATTCAACGTGCCAAACAAAACTCTTTATTAATACAGCCTGCATTACAACAATTTTTCTCAGGTAAGTATGACAAAACAAGTGGGTAGTAGCTGTGACCGAACAAACATGTTTTCCAAATAAATCGTTTAGAATTTTCATGGCTTCTTTGATTAATTTCTCAGGGGTTGCGAAAAAAAGCTCATCTCTCCCACACATAACGTTATGTAACTTATTATATTTTCGTATCCTTTCTACTAACCAATTTTTTTGACATAGGTACCTACAACTTTACTAAAGTTTTTTGTAAACCTACACACTACGTAATCCGCAAAATAAAAACTTCTGGACGTGTCAAACGAGAAATAAATTTATTTTCAAACTAATTTCAACTCTACGAACTTAAGAATCGGGCTGGCATAACAATGTGGCAAGTTGTATAAAGTCGTTCTATTCCTATAAGAGGTAGGTAAATATCCTGAGTTGCGTGACACGTGGCGGGTGTATGTAATGGGGTATATACTATAATCTCACTATAATCTCAAATAAGTATATATAACTGTCATTATAAAGACTAAACCATTGATACGGCTAATGTTAGAATTATTTATAGTACCAGGGAATGTGTTATCATTAATATATACCCTTCCGAGTATACCAAATGTTAACAAAGAATCGTGTCGTTTTGTGGTGATTAAACTAACTTCTATTTCGTGACGGGCAATCTGCTCTGTACAATACAAGTAATCGGTGGCAGGAGTTAAATCAAACTTCAAAGTTGAAGGCTGGTAGTGAGCGTGGTCTGGATTAAACTGCCCTTTAATCGATATACTTTCAAAACTTACACCCGAAGGTGAGAGCAAGTTTCTTCCACCACAAGATTGGTTACTTTCATCCAAGCAGGCGACGAGCCCACAAATGCGTTCCCCTACCGTCTTTGATGTACCATACTTTGTCACACCAGAAAAGGCAACTAATCTGAAAATAATTCCGTTATGAAACTTGGAACCTTCGTCTCCTGTACAGACGTACTTGTAAATGTAGTTTTGGAAGACAGTCGTGTGCTTACTGACAACCATATGAAAGTTGCAGCAGAATTTACTTTCCCCGCTACATATTGTTTCAGATATCGTCTTATTGAGTAGATTTATTGATTTAAATGTATAATTCGATAAATCTACTGGAGTTGTCCGAAAAAGGCTGATGTCAGGTAATTGTCTTTCAATTCCCAAGTGAACACCTTGCGTGGTCGTAGCACTTGACCCCTAATAAAAACGTTATATACGCCTTTACAAAAAATTATACTTACCTGACAGGACGTATAATGTTCAGTTCTCTCTCCACTTTTAGGAACGTTTTGAATAATAATTTTAGACTTTCTTTCCCCAGACAAGTACGTTTCGGCCACCTTTCCATTAGCTAAGTAAATTCCGCTTCCGCCATATCCCTCAGACGGATCGTTACGGCTCGAAGCCAGTAAATTAACTTTGCTCGATTTAGCGTATCCGTGCTGGAGAGAGTTTGCTAAAATGATAAGCACATTATTTGACCATTAAAATATGTACTAAATGATTACACTGCCAAAAGGGCAACTCTGATTTCCAAGAAGAGGAGTAAACTATATCCGTTACAGCTGGATTGCCTAATACATGTTGACTTGGATGTCGATATAAAATGTCTCCGGAAATGAACATTCCGAACGTAACACCGAAATCCGTTGCAAAAATAGCGGTCTGTTCCTCATCCCCTGCGACGAAGTATGGTTCGTTAAATAAATTGATTTTGCGATACCTGCAATATTAAAATGTCAAAGGCAACATCATGTAAATATCTAATCTTTGTTACGTTGATGTATAAAAGCTACACGAAATAAAACAACCCCAAAGCCAGAGGATAGACGGGCTGCTCCACGATATTAAAATAACTACTACGACGTACAACTAATGCAGTTTCCCAACTTAAGAGTTTATGTTAAAGTTGTGCATGTCTAACCGATGTAAATAAGCTTTGCTTATGTGCTTTTCGCTCAGTACCTACTACCTACATATATTAGAAAACGAAGAGCCAGTAGATCTGTCCCCTAAATCTCAGTTCGTGTATTTTGGGAATGATTGCTTTGAATTGAACTCTAAGTAGGATGACCTCAAAGACCATAGTCAGTCAACCAAATTGGAAGGTAAAGGCGGTAGGAAACCATCTCTGATCTTATGCGATTCTTGGCCTAGAGCTTCATTAGGATTATAAAGGATACAATTTTTAAGTATGCAAATTGTTTGAGGCGTTCATTCATTTAAATATCAGTAACGAGTCAATTAGATACACAACTACATCTGCAATATTACGTAACACTTCTTATACTCTTACCTGGCGATTATCGCTCCATTTTTGTCGAATACAATATTAGTGTTGTGATAGAACTTATTCTTGCTGTGATTGTCCAACCTGGATTCGATTAAATTGATAACAGTGTAGATTCTCTGCCTTGATATAATGCATGAGAGATCAACCAGAAACTGAAAAACAGATTAACATTACAAGGATTAATAAAAACGTAATTTTAATATTTAAAATAAATTACCAGATACGAAGACTAAAAATTTTGACAACCAATTTATTATTGGATCTTCCAACTGCTTGCTACTATATAAATACTGAAAGTCCTAGCCCTACAAATCGAAAAATGCGATTATGGGGCTTTTGATGATGATTAAAGCAAGCCGCTTTGCACAATTATATATTGGACCAAAACAGGAGGGCCATCCGGCCCCTCTCTCAGGGGAGGGCAAGTCACTCCCCAAGGTGCATTTTTAGTTTTGATATTTTACAGGAAAACTATCTCTATCTATTTGTTCTATGGCCACTCTAACCACATTAATACACATTAATACTGCTGTGTGCAATGGCCAAAATGGACCATACACAAAACACTTTAACTTAGCCAGCTCGCATTAACAATTTCCTCAGGACACATCTGAATTCCACACAATGAAAAATTCCAATCCCGGCTTCAAATTGCAAATTTTTTGGCAAAAACGGCTACGATCAAAATCCATAAATTGCAAGAAGAATGACTTCAGTAAGTTTTGAAAACACCTGAAACAAACTTCTGAGTACGGATCAACTAACTGATCATAATTAAGCATGAAACATCTATCTGGAACGTTAAAGGATTCGAATAAACATACCATTTACCTGAATTAACACAGACAAAATTTATTCTAATCAAAGAAATCAAATTAATCACAAAATTCTACCAATCAAAATGGACTGTAACAAACTCCGTTTACACACTTCGCATAAGCAATCGGTAACAATCAGGCTAACAATTAAACAAATTAATGAAACCTTAACCTACGTACCTACGACAGAAAACTAACGCACTCACAACCTTGCCGCATTACACTTTTTTTCTTTATCTTCTCTCTTCTTCGGGACAACAAAGACCGTAATCTTTCTGCATTGAAATAAACTGACTGAACAAAGCACGACAGATGAAACGATGAATGTTCGAAATAATGAAAAATTCAATGAGACTGCTTCACCCAAATTTCACTTCTTCTCAAACTTTCACCATAAACTAGACTGATTTCTTAACAAAAATGTTCTAAACTTCACTTGCAAAGACCGCGTGTCTTCTAACACCAACTATTTAAAGTTACTGTCCTACTTTTGAAAATTGGAAAATCTTCCTCTAATTGCTGGACACGTAGCAACACAAGAGTCATATCACGCATCCGTGTTTTTGTCCCGCTTTATCGCCACGTATACAAATTTTTACGCTGAATTCTCTTGTCTCAGAAACACGTTTTTTTAAGAAAAACACTCAGTTTTTGCTTTATTTGTAATAAATTAAATCATCCTTTTAAAAAAAGTAATAAAAATGCCCATACATTAAATCATTAAAACAAAACGGTCACTTAAAGTTATACGATTTAACGAAGCACAAAATTGATAACAAAATAAACAATAAATGCACTACCTATCTCTTTTGTTTGTTTGTTGTTTGTTTGTTTTGTTAGCTGTTACAGATAAGGCAGAAAGCGCCCTTCTGAGCTCCAAAGGCCGTTACGATCAGTGTTTCAAGCGTAATATTTTATTTTCGACGACTCCTTGATATAACGTTTGATTACATACCGATTTCCATACAATCGAATTGTAATTACTACATTTGTTTCAATAGTCATTTAACAATTAAAGCTCCGTTGTTTCCGCGGAAGTCTGCTACAATTCTTGTTTATGTTCTACCATGTCAATTATTTTATTTTTTTAACTTATAAAATTCCTTAGTCTGCCTTGTTGTCCCTTTCGGTAAATATTCTCTTTTCCCTTTTGAAATTTTCTAACGAGTAAGTGGCAGCAAATCCGGTCTACTATTACTACATTTAATTTTTGCTTCATTTTTGCTACTGTACAAGATTCCGTTGTTCACCCAGACCCACCTCTACTTTACCTGTTGTTACGTTTGCTCAAAGTGAACGTAACAGACCTATCAATTTATTTCAAGTTGTGAATTCTAGATTACTGTTGAGATGGGTTTGTCAGTCCGCCTGTCTGTCCGTCTCTTCGTTGTCTAACTCGATAGCCAAAATAAACGGCCATGTTAAAATGGATTTCTAAAACGCCCTACAGACGGTACGATTTGTCGTACAACTTATCGTACGACTTTGTAAAATGCTAAAAACAAAAAAATGCAGCTTTAAGACTTACCCCATATCCTGATAGGGGAGTGTCGCCTGTCTAATTTTTTTAATCCTCAATCCACAATAGTTTCTTTTTGGATTAACATCTTTTTGAGTAAAATATTTATTGTTTTGGTGAAATCATAATCCCCAAAGGCGTTTTTTGGTCAAATGCAAAAATTAATCAAGTTTCTTGTTAGTGTTTAGAGTGGTAATAGAACAATAGTTAATGCACAGTGAGTAATTCGGAAAATTCCTATCTAACAATTGAGGAACAATTAAAGCTTACTTTTGATAAAAAATTTGCAAATGCAATTCACTCGTGAGCGTGATAGTTTGTCCTCAAATCCGAGACTTTTTCTTTAGAATAGAATAGAATAGAAAAAGATGAAAATTGGACCGCAAAAATATACTCAGGAATCGTAATATTTTTCGTGGGGGTGCCAGCTTCAAGTCACTTACTTGTACAAAAGCGCCGTTTATGTTTATCTACGAATTTTATGTTCGTATTTAAAGGGCGGGACATTAACAGTAATCCGCACATATTATTTTAAACTATTAGTAATTAGTTATGGAATGTACTGGTTAAAATGTAAAAGAATAAGTCTTTTCCCCGTCGATTTCAGACAATTCATTTTTTCGACCTAATTTATAGGCAAGACTATTTCCTTTGCTTTTTAACAAAACTCACCACTCAAAAACCACTCCAAAATTGGTGGAAAAAACACTTTTTCTCACAAATTTTGGAGCGTAAAATCCAAAACGAATCGTATTTGTTCGATTAGACCTCACCATCAAAAGTTATGGGCGAAAAAAATTCAAAGGGCTTGAACTTTTGAACTGGTAGCCCAATCTTCAAACTATAAGCAATTACGGAATGTGCGGGTTAAAATGTATAAGAATTATTTACTTATTTTTTAGTTATGAACCGAATTACACGAAATTCAAACTGGGCATAGCTTTAGTCATATAAATACGCGATGCCAAAAGTTCATCCTACTCGATTCAGCATTCACAGTGCCTTTTTAGCGCATTTTTGCAAATTTAGTTATAGACACGAATTGCGGGCGAACGAAACGTCAAAAGTGGGTACCGGCAAAGGGAATATTTTAGTCCCTGACGGCACCTTATTGATGGTGGGGTCAAAACCGCTTATAGAATATTGGTCATACAAATACGCGCTGAAGTCCCTTCGATCTCACACGGTGATTTTTTGACTTCTCCGCCGTTTATGAACCGAATTGCATAAAATTCAAACTGGGAATCGCCAGTACCTATCATATCAAATTTAATATCGGCAATTTGGCACTTTTGATTATGTATCGTTAGGGCTTAACGGGTTAAGTGGAAGAGCACAAAGGGCTGCATGCCTCTTAGTGAACTTCGCCTTTTGGACGCCAAGTTGAATGTATAATATTGGTATTGTTTATATATTTGTCATAGTGTGTCCAAATAAAGTCATTATTATTATTATTATTATTAACTTGTGCTTGTTCTAGTGTTAGTATATTCAAATTATGTCTTTATCCAAGAACAAGGCCCACCAGGGTGCGGACGTCCACTAACAACTCGACGATAACCAAGATGCCGCGGGGGCGGCGGCATCCATTGACTCTTATGTAACCTTCGGCTCTCAAGTTTTCTACTAAAAAATGTCTGTAATGAGAGCAGTCGGCTTTCAGAAGTATAAAACAAGTAACTAAATCCCAGGCTAAATCCTAACGCTTTTCCCGTTTTACCCGTTTACGTCAAATTTCAGTACGTGCATAACTCTACATGTTTTACCTGGGCATATCTTTCATTATCTAAATTATTGGAGCAGAGAACAACATTTTGATCCGGATCTGGTATTTCAGTGCTGATGTCCTGCAGCTCCCTCCAATTCGTGATACTACCAGTTAAACCCATTTCTGGAAATACCAAAATTTGGACATCCTAAATTGTGAATGTTAAAAGAGTATATACATATTTAATTTATTTACCTGAAAAGCAGCCTGCTGAATGTATCTTATGTATTCATGCATGTTCTCCATAAAATTTTGTTTCTTTGTTAGGTGATCATCCTTTGGCGTATATTCCATGACTGCTGCTTTGTAGGTTAACTGAAATGTCAGCTTCCATTGATATATTGTAAGGGGTAGGTTGCAACTTAAAATTTCGTTATGAGGTTCGTGGGTGAGAGCATAATTGAAGGTAAAATAGACTTCGTATCAAATGCAATTTGAACTGCTAAAGACAAAAACTTAAAATACCCCACTTTTATACTCCGACATGTATCTGAACGAGGCGAGGCGGCGTAGCCGCCGGAGCCGAGCGTATGCCTTATCGAAATCAAAAATCCCTTTCGGTTCGGCCGATCAAGTGTAGGTTAATTGGTTCAATTTACCTTTAAAATTTTGTAAATAATTCAGCTCTATTTTAGTTTTATCGTTGTTGAGACGAATTCCACCAATATCTTTTTGATGTGCCATCTTCAGCAGTGAGATCACCTTTAATTCATCCCTCATAGTAACTTTAATGGGTCTATGACGTATGGTATTATGATTAGGACTAGGTTTGGGGATTTTTCCAATTCGGACAATATTCACTAGATCATCACTCTCAATATGACCATCCGCTATTTTCATAAATTTATTTTTATCATCAGAATTTTGAGATGATGTCAGTTCAGGAATATTAAACACTATAATTTTTCTTGCATTTGATATGGTCTTCAATCTCTGAGTGCATGGTAAACATCCGTTTTTCGTCTGTTGAAGCTTGCGACTGTTTTAAAAGGTTTAGTTCAATAACTTGTTGGATTTCTGTAGTTCTTTATTTGCTTCTTCAAGTTTAAAAATTGTTGTATCTAAATCGTTACGCAAGTTAGCAAAAAAGTTATTCAGAATCTTTTTGAAGGATTTTTTAGTTATGGGCACATCTTCTGCGTCAGAGGAATCCTCGTCATCCGACAAAAGGCATTACCACCTAAATAACAATAATGGTAATGCAAAAGGTCCATTGCACCCGAATTATGAGTACTTTCTATTTTTTAGATGAGCTAAGATATTCACTATCATTAGCTAGTGCTTTAGTTAATTTATCTGTATGTTTGGGACGGATAATAACGTTGCCCTCTAGCTCTTTGTGTACTTTACGGATTATGCAACTATTACGAAATATCCTCGCTACACGTCTTAGATTTATCTATGACATTTTTCGCGCAAAAAGCGCAAGCACTCATTTCCTTTCATTAGTTGATCAGTGAAGATGGTAACAGAGATTTTTGTTTAAATAACGCAAAGAAAAAAATGATGGATGCTTGAAGATGTCGAGGATCATTCGGTATTCAGTGGTATCACACTTTTCATGAACAAGAAGAGATCATCGAAAACGCTGTGATACTACGCATAATTTTATCCTGCGTAAATGGATGGTTCGAGAATTTATGTCGCTATTAGAAACAATGCGAAATTATTGCTTCTATTTAAATTTATAGCGCATTGTAAAATTAAAAAGTAGCAGGTAATTTTTGTGTTGCGCTTGTGGAGAAATTTATTATATTCAAAAATTTGTTTTCGGTCGCATTTTATTTAGGTAGTATTGGGGAAAGAAGGGGTTTAATTTTAGATTTAAGGTGTTTGTAATTGCTTTTAAATTTTGTGACGTGTGTTTACGAACCCACTAAATTTAGAGTCTTGTGTAATCGGTGACTTAAAAATTGTTTGTGAAAATCAATGCATTTAAATTTTATTTGTAAATATAGTTTTTGTGACCTTTTTCTTTGACGAATTGTGAACTGACGATTAGGCGTTAGCTCTGAAATTCTACGGAACATTTCAGTATTTTGTATTTTTGTTTCCTACTGGGCGATCAGGTGGTTCACATAGCAATTTGTTAGGTGGCAGCACTGTGTATATAATTATTAATGTACTAGCATGCAAGTCCGTCTACCGAGGCGGGTAGAATTATACGTAAATTAAATAGCTAGTACCCTACGACGGTGAAGGTAACAAATTTAAGGGATTTGGCTGAATTGTAAGATATCGATGGACTGAAAAATCTCAATAAATATATCAGACAATAATTTTATTCAGCTTTCTGAAAGCAACATTTTTATGACTTGTGAGTTTCGAGTAGGTAAATCACGTTAACTTTCTTATGTCTTATGGACTCCATCTTTTTATACGTCACTTGATAGAGAAAAAAGTTACAGAATTGGCGATATTTCGTTTGCAAATTAATCTTGAAATTTATACAATGATTTTATAGGATTACTTAGCTTACTTTTCCAAAAAGTGCAGCTTCCTCCTTCTAATCTAAATATACGACTGATAGATAATCCCATAAGACTAGATAAATGCATGGTAAGCGTATACGGATGTTGCATATGACCTTGCAGGGTGTAGGGAAACCGGAAACTAGTAATTTTCCAGAAATTCCGAAAATCCTAAACCTTTTATTAAAATTTTATAAATTCGCCTGGATCAACAGTTACAGTAATGTGCAATGCAATTATACCGCATTCGCTGCTACGCTCCCTCTAACCCAGAAAAAAAATGGGCTATAAACGTGCAAATAAAATGTTAAAAACGAATGCAGCGTATAGCTAAATATAATATTTTTTACGTACCTCTTCGGCTAACGCATTCACAAATAACACCTGCACAGTAAACAAATAATAATAATACATCGTTAATTTCGGCGCATAAGGTAAGCGACTGTTTCGGTGGTTATTTCCTGCTAAATGTGTAAATGTACCTATATCAATTTTAATTGCCTTTATGTGGACATTAATACAGTTTCATGTAAAACTAGAACATGGACAAACTAATATACGACTAGAAGTGACTCATATTTTTAATTATATAAAAATGAAAATGTTCTAAAGTATTACAATTTGATACTATTCTTAGTGCTAGCGACACTTGTAAATTAATAAATAAATTATATTTAATTATTTCTACTACCTAACCAGTACATTTGACGTGTAATGCGCTTATATATTTCATATTTGAAATGATAGTAGACCTATATAATATACTCGTATACTAAACATAGCCGTAAATTATTTAATGAAATTAGCCACGTAGGTTTCAACATTATGTATTTGAGCAAAGAGAGCAACTGGAATTCACTCCAATATTGTAATTTCGCAACAGTTTACACGCCATTTTTAAGTCAGAATGAATTGTACCATTCAATCTCTGATGAATAAGCGTCATGTTCCGTGCAGGATAATGCGTACTTCTTGAAACTCTGCCATGCACAAGCGGATTGAATAGGTCCGAGCTCCAGTCTATTTTCATTATGGAAGTAGGACTGCAGAAACAGTTTATTGTCTTCTGTAACAAAAGACATGTCGCAGTGACTCTAAAACGATTAGTGTACGCATTTCTGATCCAAAATACGATTTCGCTACCCTGTAATTACTCATTGCAAATTGATAGGTAGGCTTTCAAAGGAGTGTTCTGTGAAAAGCGGAAATAATTTATGAAAATTGCTGAACGTTTAATAAAACTGATTAGGTAATTGAATATAGCTACTGTAACGTAAGTTTAATTACGTGCTTTATTTATTACAATTAATTAAGCATAAAGTTATAGAGTCTCAAAACTACGAAGCCGTACACGGGCCACATATACACTTGGTGTTCTTCTTCTACAAAAAAGTGAAAATTTCGCCAAAAAAGTGAACATTTCTACAAAAAAGTGGAAATTTCTACAAAAAAGTGGAAATTCCCATAAAAAAGTGGAAATTTGGACAAAAATATTTGATGGCCTTTAAAATGATGGGTCACTCGATGGGGCGGCGGGGGAAGGTCAAATTTCTGCTTTGTTGTCGCCGCTTTCACTTTTTTTTCGAAATTTTCACTTTTTTGTCGAAATTTCCACTTTTTTGTTGAAATTTCTACTTTTTTGTGGGAATTTCCACTTTTTTGTAGAAATTTTCACTTTTTTGCGAAAATTTCCACTTTTTTGTCGAAGTTTCCACTTTTTTTGTCGAAATTTCCACTTATTTTTGGAATAAGAACACCAAGTGTGTGTATGGCCCGTGTACGGCTTCGTAAATTTCTGCTTTGTTGTCGCCGCTTTCACTTTTTTTCGAAATTTTCACTTTTTTGTCGAAATTTCCACTTTTTTGTGGGAATTTCCACCTTTTTGTAGAAATTTTCACTTTTTTGTGAAAATTTCCACTTTTTTGTCGAAGTTTCCACTTTTTTGTCGAAATTTCCACTTATTTTTGGAATAAGCACACCAAGTGTGTGTATGGCCCGTGTACGGCTTCGTAGTTATAGACGTAACTCTATTCAATGAATGTTCAAAGTACTGAGATTTTTTTACTTTTATAATATTTTATAATTTTGTCAACATTTTTACTTTTTATTGAAAATTTCTAGTTTTTTGTGGAAATTTCCACCTTTTAGTAAAAATTCTCACATTATTAAAGAAATTTCTACTTTTTATTGGAAATTTCTAGTTTTTTGTGGAAATTTTCACTTTTTTTGTGGAAATTTCCACTTTTTAGTAAAAATTCTCACATTATTAAAGAAATTTCTACTTTTTATTGGAAATTTCTAGTTTTTTGTGGAAATTTCCACTTTTTTGGGGAAATTTCTACTTTTTATTGGAAATTTCTAGTTTTTTTGTGGAAATTTTCATTATTTAGTCGAAATTTCTACTTTTTTGTCGAAGTTTTCAAAATGTCTTACTTTTAATGGAAATTTTTACATTTTACTCGAAGTTATTATATAAAATGTGTGTGTGGCCCCAGGACGGCTTCGTAAAAAAGTATTTGAATACTAAATAGTAAATACTTTACACAAATCAAAGGTATTTGAATACTAAATACTTTTACCTCCAGCACAAGCGAATACTAGATACAGATACATTGAAAAGTATTCAAATACTTTAAAAAATAAGTATTCAAATACTTTAGAATGTATTCGAATACTTTCAAAAGTATTTCATTAACTTACTTTGAAAAGTATTCGAATACAGTAAAAGGTATTCAAATACTTGTCACTCAAATACTTACATTAAAAATTTAAAATTGTATACTAGATAAAAGTCTTAATACTATACTTAAAAAATCAAGTTATAGTTTGTATGGGGTTAGCTTTTTTTTATATTTCTATTGTTATATACAAAATTTAAGGGGAGTAATTATTATTATATTATTATATAGGAGGTACCTACCAGGACCTTTCTTATACCAATTATATCCTTAAGAATACGTATACCAGTTTTCAAAGCGTCGTGCACATGTCTTTCTGAAATTAATCCTAGCGATTTTGGAACAGATCCATTTTTGACCATCCGTTTGTCCGTGTGCATGATAACTTGTTTAGAAACGTGCGATCGCTTTGAAAATTGGTACACATGGTCTTAAGGATACATATAAGAAAGGTCCCTATTGTTTTAAGTTGCGTAGACTATCGAGTCAAAAAGTTTCACTCCAGGATCGTTCGGTATTCAGTTGTATCGGATTTTTATATTTGATTTTGTGACAATGGAAACTTTCCTTAAACATTTCTAAATTGTTCTCAAATATTTGAATAACTTAAAAGTACTTCCTTTTTCTGAGGCCAGAAAAAAAAATTGTCTGAGATCGACCGAGAAAAAAAAACATTTTCTTATAGAATGAGGCCTGTGGAATCCATAATTTCAAACAGTTCCAAGATTGGGCTACTAGTTCAAAAGTTACAGCCCTTTGAATTTTCTTTCGAAATTGGTGTCTAGTGCATAACTTTATATTGAGAAGTCTGATCGAAAAAGTACGAATTGTTTTGTATTCTACGCACCAAAATTAATAAGAAAAAGTGTTTTCACGAGAAATTTTGGTGTAGTCAATTTTTGGTAGGTTTCTATTTAAAAAACTCGCCTTCTGACATACAAGCATCAGCATTTATTCATGCTGTGAATATTTCAATGAAACGTTAACAATGGGGGTGGTGGTGGTGATGGTCGTAATCGTGTCCATATTGCCCATGATGGTGGTCATGTCCGCCATACAAGTCATAGTCGTGACCATGATCGTAACCATATCCTCCATGTGGTCCAGGTTTCGGATTTGCAAAGTGAATGCCTTGTTTATCCACACCAAAATGTTCTCCTGGTCTGCACATGACCCCGGAAAGCAAGGAAATGACAAACAGCAATACCTAAAACACAATTGCAATCAAGATCTCAAAATTGGCCACAGACGTCTTACTTGTAAATTACTCATAGCTACAATAATGGTCTTCTAGAGCTGATTGGTGCTTATATACAAGTTTAGCCAAATGATGTTTAGTTAATGTATGGGATTATTTAGGATGATTTGTTGAAAAGTATATTATTTTTGAAATTCGCAAAATTAGTAGAATTCTTCTTCCATTGTCGTAGGCAAATAAGTGGTGAAATAACCTATAATTGTGTAATAAATTTTAGTAGGTAGGTACTTATGTTATGTATTTATGGTAAGATATTTCATTTAATTAAACCTATAATTACTCTGCAAATTTAAGATGTAAAGTATGTGTTCAGAACAAACTATAATTTGCAAGGTGAGCCATACTTTAATGACTTAGCTCAATATGTAGTACCTACCTACTCACAGGTATACTGATTAGGTAAGCCTGTTACTCTTCTGCAGTTTTCAAAATAGTATGTAAGTATGTACCTATTGCGGAATTCAGTTTAAGATTAAATCTAGGCAATAAGCGAACAATCAAGGAATTATTTTTATGTGCATATGACCTTCGAGTCACTGATCAAGAAGTATGTTTCCGTTACCCACACTATGTGAAAATGTGCCACATATTTACCTTAACCGCAAGGAGAAATTTTTTATTTGTATATTAGGATATCCAAAAAAAATTGCTGTGGCTAGCACCAGATACCACCAGCACACCTGCGGATGTGCGATTCTGCTCCTTTGTGTCTATGAAAATGTGTACCAAATTTGGTTCCAATCGGTTCAGTCGTTTATAGCCGGAAATGAGAGTACAGATGGACGGACCGACAGACCGACGTCTTCGAGATTTTGTTTGATACGGATTCCTAGTGCTTCAAAACGTGTACCTATTTCCGTCAAAAAAAGAGGGGGGGGGGTCATTTTTTACCTCAATACAATACCTCCCTTACCTACTAACGTGCGAGTGGTAAAAACAGTGTGGTGTTTCAAAGAAATCCTTATCACGTGTTCTTCGTTCATCCTTTACATCTCTCCATCCCTCTTTCACATCTCTTACATGCTTCTTCAATCATTGCACTTCACCTGCTTCACATCTCGCTCGAGCTTTTTTCGTCCCATTTTCACGTCTCTTTCACGCTTACTTCACACATGCATTTTATCTTCACCACCGCGTCCGTCACGCATCCCTTAAGTAGGTGCATATCCGTTACGCTCCTTTTCCTTTTATCACATCACCATAACGCAGACAGAAAGTCTATATCTGCTTTACTCCTTTTCTCAATACTTCTTTTACATCTCCCCTCTCTACTCCCCCTCAGCGAAACTTTATTGTACCTTCTTCAATCTTCATGCTTCCTCAGTGACTGATACACGCTTTCTTCAATGTCTCTATTTCCGCATTCTCTGCTTCACGTCAACTTAATAGCCGCCCCTGTCTCTTTCAAACACTCCTCGTAATTGTTTTTATTCTATTTTGTTCATAAGGGGAGCCAGCTCAGGCAGCACATTTGGATTCAGAAGTCTAATCGAAAAAGTTTTGGATTCTACGCACCAAAATTAATACAAAAAAGTGTTTTCCCGAGATATTTTGGCGTAGTCGATTGACCGGAAAAAACATTTTCTTATAGAATGTGGCCTGTAGAATCCATAATTTCAAACAGTTCCAAGATTGGGCTACTAGTTCAAAAGTTACAGCCTTTTGAATTTTCTTTCGAAATTGGTTTCTAGTCTATAACTTTTGATTGAGAAGTCTTATCGAAAAAGTACGAATTGTTTTGGATTCTACGCCCCAAAATTAATAAGAAAAAGTGTTTTCCCGAGATATTTTGGTGTAGTCGTTTTTTGGTAAAAAAGGAAGGTTAAACTCTGCCTTTTTTTGAAGCCCGAAAAAAAATTGGCTCAGAACGACCCGAAAAAATTTTTTTTTTATTATACCTGAATCACAATCTCCGTTTTAAACACTCAAATGCGTGCGAAAAAAGGCCTTTAAAACACACGTGCTTTAAAGTTGCTAAGTAACGATACTTCAAGTATGACTTTTGAAACTGTCATCTCGGTGAAATAAAAAATCTTCCTAAGTCGCTTTCTGTAAATGCAGAATATTTCTTTGGCTTGTACCTATCTTTTGGTTGAAGCTTTTACAAACGCGCGTAATTTAGGGCATGCTTCCAAATCTGTTCCACTTTTGAGTCCCAGCAATAAGTGAAGTTTTGAATGAATGCACCAAAAGATATAGAAGATGTAAATACCTTTGACATTTCCTTCATAGATGCCAGCATTATCGATGCATTTAAGACTTTATTCGTAAGTAACTTCCTATTCATCCATGGAAACAACTTTTCATATGCTTGATAATGGGCTTTACTGGATTGAGATTTTACACCTACCAACGTTTGTTTAGATTTTACACCAAGCGATTTAATGGACGGTGTATTAATCTTTTTCAACGGAAATCGTTTTATTCACAAAGACGACAATTTTTATAAGCAAACGTCAAGTGACATTTCCATGGCAATTGTGAAATTACGAACACCCAGCCCACTTAATTAGGCATGTATTCGAGTATAACGTCAATATGATTTCATTGAATTTCCTATTTTTAAATTATACTGCAGGTATAATAAAAAATACTATAAGATACACGTGTATAATTGGTCTTTAAAGCACTTGCAACGTTAAAGGCACTCCGCTTTGCGTCGTGCCCTTAAACTCGTTGCGCGTGCTTTAAAGACTTGATTATACACTTGTATCTTAATATACTATTTTATTATACCTGAATCACAATCTCCGTTTAAACACTCAAATGCGTGCGAAAAAAGGCCTTTAAAACACACGTGCTTTAAAGTTGCTAAGTAACGATACTTCAAGTATGACTTTTGAAACTGTCATCTGGATGAAATAAAAAATCCTCGTAGGTCGCTTTCTGTAAATGCAGAACATTTCTTTGGCTGTTGTACCTATCCTTTCGTTGAATCTTTCACAAACGCGCGTAATTTAGGGTATGCTTCCAAATCTGTTCCACTTTTTAATCGCAGCATTGCTTTAAAGTTTTGAATGGATGCACCAAAATATAGAAGATTTAAATACCTTTGACATTTCCTTCATATATGCCAGCATTATGGATGCATTTAAGATTGTATTCGTAAGTAACTTCCCATTCATCCATGAAAACAACTTTTCATATTCTTTATAATAGGTTTTACTGGAGTTGGATTTTACACCTAACAACGTTTGTTTAGATTTTACAACAATCGATTTAATGGGCGGTGTATTATCTTTTTCAACGGAAATCGTTTAATTCACAAAGACGATGATTTTTATAAGCAAACGTCAAGTGACATTTCCATGGCAATCGTGAAATTACGAACACCCAGCCCACTTAATTAGACATGTATTCGAGTATAACGTCAATATGACTTCATTGTATTTCCTATTTTTAAATTATACTGCAGGTATAATAAAAAAATACTATAAGATACACGTGTATAATTAGTCTTTAAAGCACTTGCAACGTTAAAGGCACTCCGCTTTGCGTCGTGCCCTTAAACTCGTTGCGCGTGCTTTAAAGACTTGATTATACACTTGTATCTTAATATACTATTATAGAACGAGGCCTGTAGAATCCATAATTTCAAACAGTTCCAAGATTGGGCTACTAGTTCAAAAGTTACAGCCCTTTCTATTTTCTTTTGAAATTGGTTTCTAGTCTATAACCTTTTATTGAGAAGTCTGATCGAAAAAGTACGAATTGTTTTGGATTCTACGCACCAAAATTAATAAGAAAAAGTGTTTTCCCGAGAAATTTTGGTGTAGTCGATTTTTGGTAAAAAAAAGGAAGGTTTGTACCTACACTGCCTTTTTTTTGGCCCGAAGAAAAAATTGTCTCTGATCGACCAGGAAAAAAAATTTTCTTATAGAATGTGGCCTGTAGAATCCATAATTTCAACCAATTCCACGATTGGGCTACTAGTTCAGAAGTTACAGCCCTTTGAATTTTCTTTCGAAATTGGTTTCTAGTCTATAACTTTTGATTGAGAGGTCTGATCGAAAAAGTACGAATTGTTTTGGATTCTACGCACATAAATTAATAAGAAAAAGTGTTTTCCCGAGAAATTTTGGTGTAGTCGATTTTTGGTAAAAAAGGAAGGTTATACACTGCCTTTTTTTGCCCGGAAAAAAATTGTCTCAGATCGACCGGGAAAAAACATTTTCTTATAGAATGTGGCGTGTAGAATCCATAATTTCAAAGAATTCCAAGATTGGGCTACTAGTTCAAAAGTTACAGCCTTTTGAATTTTCTTTCGAAATTTTGGTCAGGTCACCATTTCTACAGTAGGTACTCTATGAACCCCGTCCCCGTCCCCTAGTAATGCCGACGGTTTCGACCGCTGGTCAGAACCAAAAACCGCTCATCGAAATTTTTCTTGGCCCCTGTAGTAAACCCGACGCGCCTTGGAGATTGATAACGGGGGATTGAACCCCCTACCTCTCTTACCTGGTGCAGTCGAAGCATTCGCTTGCGTCACAAATGTGACCCTGCGGACTCCAGCGAAACCCTGCCAACCTAGAGAAACCCCTACTTTGTCTCGTCAAAAACTGCATTCAATGCAGCCATAATGCTGCCAGCCAAAGTGAGATTAAAAGCTACTTTTTACAAATCAATTTGCAAAAATGCGCTAACAAAGAAAAAGCATCCGGGAAAGCCAAGACAAGGACAATCAAAACCAACGGTCAATATTATAACAAATTTAAGTAATAAAACGCCAAATTTCAGAACAAGTTATGAAGGCAAAATTATATACCCCTTAAGTTACTGCTCGAGACATTAATAAAGAGACTATTTCTGTAGAACTAAATGTTAATCCGCGACTCCCAATTCTAAAAAATGGGCCGATAAATATTTTCCCCGGGCCGCTTAAAGGTATCAGTCCGCCTCTGGTTGATCCCCGCTAGCAGTCTGGGTTTTAGTCTCGACGAGTCACTTATTAGTCCAGTAAGAATAGATCAAAAAATGGCAATTAGGGGAACTAAATCATGTATTACTAAGCCCTTCGGAAATGTGTAGAAGAAGTTTCCCTGATCAACATATAATAAAGTCACTCCGACTACCGGATGTGCTAGAGGGTTGATGGGAGAGACCGTGATTTTGATGGTCACATTTTAAAGACTTTGCATAAATTAACAGAAAAACGGATATTTCTGATAGATTATAACTTGAAGAGCTATTAAGTTGGGGTACAGTCATAGACATATGTCTATGGGCACACTGTATATATTCCAGTGAAGTAAAGCTAGTTTTCGAATACTTGAACGCGTCCAGACATTTGAAAGTTGTACGGTCTGTGGCATAGAGAAATGGATTAATCTATGGTATTAATTTAACCTCAAAAATTAAGCTTGTTTTGAGAATCTATTACATAAAAAAAAAGCAAAAATGAGAATACTGCCTGCTTTATGGGCTCGTGGTAATCCAAAGGAGCCAGTACCGTTTCAAGAAATTTTACCTCTTAAGCTAAGACCTTTCGTATCTGGCAAGGGGGATAAAACGAGCAATGTTTGTTGCTTATATGAAATGTCTTTAGTGTTTGGCTGTTTGAAAGAAAACGAATTTAAGGAGTCGGCATGTGGAAGAGAAATCAAGTCTTTCCAGGAATGTTTCACCAATTACAATAAGCAAAAATATATAACGAAGGAAAGAGAAGCTAAAGGTATCTTAACACCAGGTGAAAAGAGATTGCCCTATAGGCAGCTTAATAAACTATTACGAATGTATCCAAATGAAAAATAATGTTGCGTCTTGTATATATCTAGTGTTTGTTTAATAAATTACAGAAATTAGCAACTTTTCTTTTTATAGACATCAACATGAGGTTTCAATGCGAAGTTTGCCAGCTTTAGTTGAAACTCCTTGCATTAGCACTGAACCAAAATATTTAGAAGGCTGCATGCATACATAATATATTAAGTAGGTATACCATATCAGAAATAAATAAAACTAATCTAGCTAGACAAATATCACACATTAATATCAGAATGAATCTGGTTCATTCGGTAAGCTTCTTTTAGAAACTTCAAATTTTCTTCAAGCGATACAACTTCCTCATATCGATTAGCCGATCTCGCCTGTTCAATATAATTTTGAACAATCTTAATTTGTTCTTCTAATGGATCATTTGGTGTATCGGTCACAGACTGTTGAACAGCCAAATTTTCCGGGGACCAACCCGTGGTAACCGCAATTTTCTTTAAGCTCACAGGCTTAGGTAGCTCCACAGCTTGCAAATGTTTTATTGTCCGATTTTTTCTCATTTTGTCCAGTTCAGCCGGATTAGGTAATACCAACAAGTATTCCTTAATATATCGAGTAGTTGCCTGGCGAATTGCATTTTTTAGCAGAGATAGTTTCGGTTGATTATCTTCAGAACTAATTGACATAATTTGTTTACTAATGATATCTAGAACCTCGGCCTGTTGTGCGATAGAAGCTCGAAGTGATTGTGCATCTTTTAGGTGGAAAGTATCTTCACTGGACATTAATGAATTACACATCTAGAATTTTTAAATATCATTCTTAATAGTCGGTTTACTGTGAGGGATCACATGTAAATTTTACTTCATACTCCTACATGTGTCCCCTCTAAGCTTACCTTTTCATATAAATTTATGGATTCTTGTAAATCAATTTTTGTTTTTTGCAAACGATCATATAGCTGACATATAAGAGGTTGATTTCCTTGTATCATCTGCACTTGATTACGACTTTCTAACATATTCATGCAATGGGTGCACAGTCTTATATTATCTTCAACTTTACTGCTCGAGTTATCACGGTCGGTGTAGACGTTTGTTACAATCATTTCTAAAAGAAAGGATGTCAGTACACATTTACTAAGTTCCTAAGAAATACAAACTAGCAACATCACACGAAAGGAAACAAGAACACAAGTTACACATGACACTCCCACACAAACGGCAGTGGTGCTGTCTCCTTGTAATATTAAATGTTGCTGCACACGAAGGACAACGAGATACTGCTGTACCATCTAACCATGTAACTAACTCCTGCTCTTGTTGTTTGCGATCGGACCCATTAATATGTAATAACTTGTCTAATCTTATAATCAAGCGATTCGTTTCGCTGGTACGATGATCTAAGCGTTCTCTTCGAACGATTTTAAAAAAATCGGTGTGCTTACGACTTACACCAGGTTCCTGAGGTTCTATATAATCCCAGTGAAACTCTTGCAAGGATAATTCATTTTTGAATAATTCCAAATCCTTTTCGTCAATTTTTAATATTCTCTTCTTCGCTTTTCCCACAAGGTCTAAAACTCATCTATTCGTTATTAGATCTTATGCAAAATATACAACCTTTGATGGATTTCAACAAATCTTGTTCTTCGGAGTGGAGCTCCACAAAATGGGAAAATAAATTTGATGATGAACGATAATCTTTATAACAAACTGGACATATGAAACCCTCTTGAATATCGGTGTCCAATGGTGATTGTGCCATTGCCATTGTAACTTCCAGCAGAAAATAAATAAAGGGAATCAACTCGTTTCTGCAAATATTTTGTAATTAAAAACCATTCTATTTATCTAAATCTAATCGTGACTCCTGTTCATTGGGTGCGTTCACCAAACCATTGAATTACACACTGTGTATAATGTGTAATATGATGCATTGGCGGTTTTTTTTCAAATTTGAGGGATCAACCTCATCTGGGGTAAAATGCTGTGAAGCATGTTAGCGAAAATTGTAATTAATGTATGTACCTACTGTAGCGATTTTTCTAGAGCGATATTAAGGCGCTATTCGCTCGATAAAGGATTAGTCATCGGTAATAAGTACAAGAAATAAAGCAAGTGTGGATGTGACTCATTCTTTCTGTGAAATATGATATGCTTTCTAGATTTTCCTAGAAGGTTTATTGTTTGCTGTAGGTACAACAAATTGAATTGTGTTGAAATTCAATGCAACTCCCAAAGGGAACCCAACAAGCAGCGCTTCGGTACACCAAATAAAGGCCCATTTTGTGCTTACCTCCTTTCCCTCGCAACTACGTTTAGAGTCCGTTCCCTTCAAAGTTGGCACTGCGCATGCGCAAAACCAAATTTTGAAACTGCCGTTTGATTTTCCTTTATTCCAAGTGCCTAATGTATCAAATTTCACTCGACTCAACTTTTGGCATTGCGTATTATATGGCTAAAGCTATGCCCATATTGAATTTCATGTCATTCAGTTTATAACTAGCGGAGATGTCAAAGCGATCGGACATTTCTAAACATAGTTATCGTTCACACGGACAGATAGAGGGGCAGACAGACAAAGGAACAGACGGACAGACCAACAGACAGCAATACAAAATTATAAACGATCTCTAGGATCGTTATAAACAGCAAAAGTGTAAAATTGTGGAACATGTAAAAAACGGTTTTTTCGTTTTTTTTGCAATAACTAAATATATACTTACACTTTTTAGCAATAAACGCAGATAAAATTCCTTCCTTGGTGCAAGTTTCGACACCATAACGACCCAAATAGCGAAAAAAGTAGAACAACAACTCTTAAGATAAAGAACTAGTAGCGTCTCAACGAACGAGCGGACGGACGGACAAAGTGGCCGCAATAGCGCATTTTTTTAATTTTTTTGGAAATGCGCTAAAAAGAGACGGGTTACATGGAAGATCAAGGAACTGAAAAATACAGTCCTAACGCTTGTTCACAAGAACATATTGCTTTGGTTCGTGAAAGTGTTGCTGAAAACCCTGATTCCTGCCTGAACTTATAAGGATGAAATTATTCATGTCATTGGCGACAAAAAAATCTTTCAAATAAAATTTTTAGTGTGTCTAGTAAGCTACACAAATTAATATGCAATATGTATGCAATTGGTATATTTGCGCCATCTCTTTGGTAATCCCTATACTTTTCCTAATTATTTTCTTGTAATAGTTGAACCAGTTCCAATGAGATGTCGCCACGTCCGTAACTACCTTCTTAAGTACATTTAAACTCAAAGGGCTGTAACTTTTGATCTAGCAGCCCAATCTTGGGACAGTTTAAAATTATGGATTCTACAGGCCACATTCTATAAGTAAATGTTTTTTCCCGGTCGATCTGAGACAATTTTTTTTTCGGGCCTGTTTGAAATTATGAATTCTACAGGCCACATTCTATCAGAAAATTTTTTTTCCGGATCGATCTGACACAATTTCTTTTCGAGGCTCAAAAAAAGGCATAGTATAACCTTCCTTTTTTACCAAAAATCGACTACACCAAAATATCTCGGGAAAACACTTTTTCTTATTAATTTTGGGGCGTAGAATCCAAAACAATTCGTACTTTTTCGATTAGGCTTCTCAATCAAAAGTTATGGACTAGAAACCAATTTCGAAAGAAAATTCAAAAGGCTGTAACTTTTGATCTAGCAGCCCAATCTTGGAACTGTTTGAAATTATGGATTCTACAGGCCACATTCTATAAGAAAATGTTTTTTCCTGGTCGATCTGAGACAATTTTTTTTCCGGGGCCAAAAAAAGGCAGTGTATAACCTTCCTTTTTTACCAAAAATCGACTGCACCAAAATTTCTCGGGAAAACACTTTTTCTTATTAATTTTGNTTCTCTGATGACACTCCAACTTCACGCTTGAGTGTCAACATCGATATTTTCAAAATTTTCTTTTACTATAATTTTGTGCTAATTTGTGCTGCTAATTTAAAATTTTGTGCTAATCAGGTTAATGAGTAATTCAAATTTTTCTGAAGATACTCACTGTAGTGTCAGTTAGTTGGATATTGCCATCGCCGTTTTTCTGGAAAAATTTCATCAAATGTCGACATTTTAGATCATTTTAAGTAACTTCTAAATAATAAAATTTGTCTGCCTGTGGGTACGTACCGTACGTACTATGTACAGTGTGGTCCAATTTCGATGGGATTAAATGGGTAATTTTCTTATTAGCGCAGATAAACGAAAACGGTTTTAGTACTCGTGTCCTTATTTTTTATGCTTATTCCATTACCTTTGCCGGAAATTAGCTGCCGTCTTTTGTTTTTTCACTAGAGAGAAAAAGTGAAAAATGTTGAAGCTACAACAAAATGGCTTTTGTTCAATCCTGTCATTGAAAACAAGTGTTTCTTACTTAGATACCAAATGTGAAAGTGTTTGTTTTACCCATTCAAACTATTTCCATAGCAACGGGTGAGCGAAAAGAGTGAGTGAAAAATTTTCACCCACTCATAATACACATACATACGCTGAACTTTTATTTATTCATAATTCATCACTAATAGATACAAAGCAACAAAATTACTTATAAATATGAAAATTAACATTACAATTGTTAAAAATTGGTTGATTGATACCAGGGACTTGAACTTTTCCACTTCCACTTCTCTTTGATCAAATGTCTTCGCTTTTTTAGGTTGATAACCCTTTAGAATTACTTTTTAGAATCGCGAACAAGGTTTTAAACCTAAAACATTTCATATATTACAACCAGTAAATTAATAATGAACTAAAACTTACTTGCTTTCTCAAAAACAAATAGGGTGCATTTAAGCATCGACAATATAGACCATAAAGAAGGGGCAGCGTATTTTTGTATCAATCCATTGAAATAAGCAACCACTACTTCTTCAATTACAACATTTACGTTTCTGTTCTCCATCCACGACCGAAATTTTTCCAACTCCTTGATGTATCTGTCTGGATTTCTTCGGTAATAAATTAAATGTCGCTGCATTCGCTTCTTCCAAAATGTTATCTGGCACAAATACACTATTTTCATCTTCCATTTTCTTGGAAATCTAAACGCGCACACTTTTGCTACAATTATAATTTGTTGACAGATTGTGTCAATTGTTTTACGCAGATCTCATGGGAACCATAACAACGAAAACTACCTACTATGTTTTTTTCAGATGCTTAAAAAATAACTATTACACAGTTTCTTTTTAAATTTTTATTAGTAACAGGATTGAACAAAACGCTATACAGCACTCGTGGAAAACTAAATCACTCACTTGTGTGTCGTTCCACACTCGGCTACGCCTCGTGTGTAATCTCGACACACGCGTGAGTGAAACTTTTAGTTTCTCCACTTGTACTGTAATATACTATAGCATTATTCAAGCAGTTTTTAATGTAGATAACCAATGTCGTCAGTCGTTTGTTTCTAGACCTTTTAATAACCAACTTTTTATTTATTTATTATTGTCTTTATTTTATAGTGGGCGGAGTGTTAGCTAATTAGCTACTCTTTCCACAAAAAAACTTTTGTTATTATCTTTCAGGCAAGATGTATTAATAAGCAAAATTTATTGTAAAAAAGCTTATTCTTGAAAATAAGTATGATGTATTATACATTTTAGGAAAGCTCGTAAAGCAATAAATTTTTTTAAACCATGGTAAATTGTAACTTCAATTTAAAAAAATCAACTTTGAGTTACAACGCAGTTACTAAAAGAATTAGAAACAAACAAATCGTACAAAAGAAATAGAGCTGAATTTGTGTTTATGAACTTATAACATTAATCAGAATTATAATGGAATTTTGTGATAAAATGGTTACCCAATTTTCGTGTATGTAATGACAATTATCAGGCTGAAGAACGGAATGAAGCCTGTGAATGCGGTATCTGTTTGCACAGCTTGCAATCTGTTATGTTGGAAGCAATTATGACCACTTTCTCCGTCCGTCCATGCGAGGGCGCCACTGCTCCTACAGTTTTCAATATATTTAGTTCGTTCTTCTTGAATTCGGTAGCTCTGTTACCTCATGACGATAAATGTGCGCATGCGCAATATCAATAAAATTTTCTTATTTATTAATATATTTTGCTGTAATTTTCACCACCTTTATAGTAAAGGCAAACATATCGCATATGGTAAGAATCAGGTGTGCGCATGCGCAGACTGCACAATGCCCGCATCCTTTTTTTATAGATATTTTTTGGAAAATTTAACCACATTCTAGTAAAGGCAAACGTCCATATTAGATATGCGCATGCGCAAACCGCCCAATACTAACTTCCTTATTTTTAATTATAGATGCTTCTAATAACGAAAAACATAGGTCACATAACAATGGACTATGGAAGTCCCGAATAATGCATGAAAAATGCTCGCAATTTACTCGCCTTAGGCCCAAACCTCTTTACTTTTAACTTTTATGTCCACAGTAAGGTGCCTTTTGCCGCTTCGCTCTCTTTTTTTTATTACTCTCCCTTGAGCTACATCCAGGGGTGTATTTCCCACAAGGCGGACTAGTTGCGCGCCTAGAGCGGCAAATTCTAGGGGCGGTAAATTTTGGAGGAAACATTTTGACTATTCACCAGTTTTGGTTTTGTTTAGCAAGAAGCATGAAGCGTAGAGACCACAAATTTAAATATCTGATTGTTTGTTGATGAGCGGTAAATACGGCAACCAGGAATAAAACAAGGAAAGGAGTACGTAGCGTTCTTTTCTTACCAATTGATATTCCAAATTTATATTCCTTATATACTTCGAATTTTACTCGTTGATTGTTGAGTGAGAAATAGCAAAGAGACGCAACTATAATGTAAAATTGCGATACATATTCCCGAAGCTTCCCGTGCCCACAGTCCACAGTGGGAGGGGTGTGAGTGTGTTAGACGTGCGACTCTGATGCTTAAAGGCCACCCAACAACACAAACCGATTGAAAATTAATGAAAGAGCGTTGGACTATAATTCCGGAGGTCGGGTGTTCGAACCTGGATTGAGGTGAATTTTTCATCTGTGGCAGATACCTTAGACCAGTTGCCAGCATTCTGCCGGCTACTCTGAATGACGTTTTCCTGCAGTTTTCCTAATTCGTAAGGTAAATACCGGAGTAGTATAAAACAACTTAATACCTTCTCTGCAGAGGCACCTCTAAAAAGCACTATGCGGGTCACTCTGTAATTGGGCGTAAGCCTGTTGAGGGCCCAGAACAAGAGAGGAATAGTAAATAAATAAACGCTGCTACATCTGCGGAAATCGATTATTAAGGATCCTCAGATCCTTTATAGTTTTGTATTGTCGTCCGTCCGTCCGTGTGCGCTCTAACTCTTTTTAAAAGTGGCCGATTGTGTTGAAATTTGGTATACGGGTACGTTGGACATTAAGAACGGACGCTATTGATTTTCAGGAAGCTGGTTCAACAGGAACAAAAGTTATACGACTTCGAGTGAATCGGGAACAGGAAAAACTGCGAACTCAATATAATAAAAATTAACATATTTCATTCCTTAGGTCATGTATCGAGTTCGGACTTTCGCTAGATTATTCCCTATGACTCTTAGATGTGTAACAATTCAATATAACTCTTCTCTGTGGTCTCGGTCAAAAGTTTTAGAGCAAAATGTACCCAAATTATTCTTTACACATGAATTTAGAGTTGTAAAAGCTTTCAAACGCATTATCTTGATGCTGAAAGAGTTGATAACGTGCACGTTTGATAACCGCATGTGTGTGATTCAAAAATGTTAAATTATTTTTCTGAGGCCACATGGATTTTGATCAAAATATGTCAAAATCGTTAATTATGCCCCAAGATCGTTGGGAAAAAGACTACGCGCATTATCTCAATGCCCAAGACATGAATTTGATGCATTTTTGGCGACCACGTGGATTTTGATCAAAACATGTCAACATCGTTATTTATGCACCAAGAGCGGTGGGAAAAAGACTAAGCGCATTATCTCAATGCCCAAGACATGAATTTGATGCATTTTTGGCGACCACGTGGATTTTGATCAAAACATGTCAAAATCGTTATTTATGCACCAAGATCGTTGGGAAAAAGATCAAGAGCATTATCTCAAAGCCCAAGACATGAATTTGATGCATTTTTGTTAACTATAAAATGTATTTTGTAAGATTAAAATAAATTGTCGTTAAAAGTGATTGTAATACTGAGGATCCTTCGATATTTCGTTGTATCGGTTTATTCTTTACCAAATTGCCGATGTACTGAAGCATCTTGCAATAAGCCTCATCTAAATTAATCGAGTTGCACCTCTCTTTATATTTCTCACCCCATCTAGGTATTCCTTCTGTAAACCCGTTTAGTTTAGATGCCAGTCATTTCTATAGTATATTTGTTATTACCATAGTTCTTTGGTTCGCCACTAGAGGTCTTGATCTTCTTTTTTTTCTACATACGCATGTCCTATACTTCTTCCTTTCAGAGACGATCTGGATCTGGGTTAATTGCGTGCAAATTTTTCTCGATACGCCATTACTTTTTACTTGACTTTGTGTCAATCTGTTTTGGCTGTGAACATATTTCTATTGAGTGTTTTTTCTCTATTTCTGATGTGCTGTGGCTGTGCTCCATTGAATACGCTTTTCAAGTAATTAGTGTGAGGTATGTACTTCAGCATTTTTCTTAATACGTTTTTTAGGGTTTTATCTTCCCTCAAGGTTCGCTCAAACTTCTCTCTTAACTTCTTATCATTTTCTCTTCTGGATTACTTTTACGTTATTCTCTACCTGGATATTTCTTACGCAGAACGTGGATGACATCGCAATTTTACCTGGACCCGCCAACTTAGCGAAATTGACATTGGCAACGTCACGTGAGACGACATTACATAACCTACTTCGAAAATTTACACCTGGAGATGTACCTAATTGTTCATTACTAACTGCAAGTATTTACGAAACCTTTTGGAGAATATTAGCTTTCTATCTTTACACCATCATATTCTTTTTCTATGAATTGAATATCTTTACAATTCTTTCGGTGTCTAGAATATTATGGGTTTCCAACTTAGACAATACAGTACATGGACTGCTAATTAGCAGTACAAATTAGCACAAAATGAGCACAAAATTATAGTAAAAAAAAATTTTGAAAATATCGATGTTGACACTTAAGCGTGAAGTTGGAGTGTCATTAGAGAAAGTTGAATTACTCATTAACCTGATGAGCAAAAAATTTTAAATTAGAAGCACAAATTAGCACAAAATGAGCGCAAAATTATAGTAATTCACTTTCTTTGTGTACGGTATTATATGTTGATTCTGTTTTAACATTAAGAGCGTCTCAAAAGTAGCGAATATTACACATAATATTGTAGATATACTATAACTAGGTATAACTATTTGGTATTTAATTACTCCACAAAAGACGTTTCAGTTACCTATTCTTATTTTCTCAAAACGAAAGCGCAGTAGATAAAAATTATGTGTTCTTAAATTACGGGATTTAACTATATCAGACTCTTCATACAACTTCAAAAAAAAACCAGCGTGATTATATCTAAGAAATGGAAATACTTAAGAATCGCGATGTGTTGAAAATGAAAGACCAAATAGCTATTATTTGAAACATTTTTCCATGAAGTAGATGTTTATCAAGATGTGCACTACTACATACATTCTGTAAAGGCAATCGTGTAGTAGCCTGTTAAAAATATTTAATTGTAATAAACCAGAGGTTTACAGAATTATCCAGGTGCGAATTATCCGGGAGCGAAACGTCCAGGGTTTGAAATATCCTGAGAGCGAAATGTCCGGGTGCGAATTATCCGGGTGCGTTTTGGTATAACTCTAAAATATATCTTTATGAAGTGTTGAATCTAAACTACCTTTTGCCATTACTTTTCTGATTACTTCTTTAGAGGATGTTCTCTTGCATTCAATATCGTAAAATACCAATTTCTCTGACAAATTGCAAAGTTGAAAGGTAGCAGGTGAGAATACAGCAGTTCGCCACTCAAAAGTTAAAGGAAGCGGACCTGAGAATAGGAAACTGCGACTAAATTAGTTACGAGTTTCTATAGGGGTAATGAGGCACAGTGCAAATTCTTAGCTCTGAGCAACAGAAATGTAAATTTGGCCGCCATAAGACAATCCATTTTCTATAAGTAAAATACAATTACAGATGTTAGTCACCATTTCAGTTCCTAAAGTATGTTGGTTCAATTTTTTAATGGTTTCAATTACTATTAATTAGGATATTGCGGTTAATTGTACAAATGACTCACGACACGAACGTTGTAAATTTATTAGGAAGTTCTCGAGTAGGTTTCAGTTTTTGCAGTGTTCTATAACAAAAATGATTTCTCCAATGTTTGGTTTAGTATTTGCATTTGCATTTAGCAACACGCTAGCTAAAGTCAGTTAACTCACTACGCGTATATTTTTAAGGTAGCACGTATGATTGTAGGAAACCTACAAGGCGGCCGTGGTGGAATATCATCCAGTTAACAGTGACAATGCGTACGAAGATTTTTTCACCAACGTCAGAATGTATTTAAAGTACATCGAGGAAGCGGCTTTGCAGGTAAAATTAAACATTGTGTCTTTTGGTTTATTTACGCAACTTTAGGGGGTCGATATAATCGTGTTCCCTGAAGATGGATTAACTGGCTGGATGTTGGACGATAAATATATTCCCACATTTGCTACCGAAATTCCGGATTCTGATAGTGGAGTTTCCCCGTGTATCGATAGAAATGGTAGTTATTCCAATGTAAGTAATCGTTCTTCAATATCATGTCTTTAAGGCCTTCTCTATTTTAGTATTTAATCAATTTATCCTGTGCTTGCAAAAGGAATAAAATATATTCGGTGGTTAATATAATTGAAGTGGTCCATGGTAGTGATGGAGAAAAAATTTATCATAACACGAACATTGCTCTTAATCGTGCTGGAGTGGTTATTGCAAGGTATTTCGCTGTAATATAGTCTCCTTTTACATATTTATGCTTTAAAGGTACCGAAAGATAAATTTATACGATGAAGTATTTTATAAACCCGGTGAGCATGTACTCAGTACATTTACAACTGATTTCGGGGTGACATTTGGAATGTTCATATGTTTCGATGTGGTATTTAAAAGTCCTGGATTAGATATTTTGCAAAATACTGAGGTCACCGACATTGTGTATTCAACAGCGTGGTTTGCTCGACTGCCCTTTTACACAGGTGACTTTCGATTTGAGTATAAAGGATCTTGTAAAAATCATTTACTTTAGCAAATAGTGTACAACATGGTTACGCGAAACTCCACGGTCTCAACTTTTTAGCAGCGGGGTTAAATGACCCAAAAACTGGCACGGGTGGCAGTGGGATTTATCTTGCTGACGGTGGTATACTTACCGTTTACATTACCGGTAAAGAAGAATCAAAACTAATCATAGCTAACGTGCCCAAGATAAAATCCAGAGTTGATTTATCTAACACCTGTCAAGTACGTTGTACCTTTTGATGATTTTTCTATCTTACCTATTTCAGCATGCTGGTGCCGATTCAGTGAATTCACATTCCAGTGACGTGCATCTATTCTTCACAAACACTACCGATTTGAGTAACTACACAGTACAATCCCTGGATTTAAACGATTTAGAAGTTAGTGAAACTGTTTGTGCCAAAAATAGTGAATTTTGTTGCACTTTTAATGCAACCATGAAGAAGTACTCACCATTACCCAACTACTCATATAAGTAGGTATAGGTTAGTCACGTTAGGCAACATTATTAGATCCCATAATCTCAATCTAAAACCAAAGCAATAGTGAGTACTATTATATCCAGTGTTTTTTAGGTTAATTGCGTATAGTGGGGTCAGCGCGATATCGACTACAAAAACCATTGGGTTAAAACAATGCGCTCTAGTAGCATGCAGCGAAGATAACATTGCTTCTTGCGGGCAAAGGAATAAAGGATTTCCGAGCGGAATCTATTTTGAACATATATCAGTTTCCGGAACTTTTAACACCAACGACGCCGTATACATGCCATCAACCGTGACATATGATCTTCTTCCAACCAATCGATACGTGTACTGCAGGAAGGTTTCCGGTAACCAAGAAGAAGTAAGCATGTATACAACGCAAAAACTGGATTCCCTTTTGACTTTTGGCATATTTGGTAGAACATTTAAATATGATGATCATACTCCGGGAATAATTACTGATGCGGCAAGTCGTAGTGGTCACATATCGTATATGGCATGTTTGCTTATTTTATTTTGTTCCAATTGTTTGTGGATAATATAATTGTCGCTTTGTACATAGTCAACTGATGGCAAAAGTGCATAAGCGTTATATAATTTTTTTATGTACCATTTATCGCAATTGGAAAACCCGCCTACATTTTTTACAGAAAGATTGAAGAACTGCAATTGAGTCAATTACAATTACAATAACTTACTCTCGTTTGATAAGTAATAATCAAATTCACGTTATACAGGGTGTTATCTAAAATTGTATTGGAAACCATTGCAAATTCCTCAAACTGGTAGGTACAAAAATTGCCGGTGTTACTAGACTGGTCAAAAAGCATAAGTAAGTATACAAAGGTTTTCAGTTATCATCGACATATACCTAAAATGAATGGCTTGCAGAAAGAGAAACGACACATGCAGCACATTACAATTTCAAAATGATTAATTATCGATGAGCTTTTGTTTAAAAAAACCAAAAATTAAGTTACGAAAAGAATGAATTTATAGCTATTAAGATAACCAGGTGGTTTATAGGTACACGTACTGTAAAGATGATGCCTATTTTTAATCCGAATGACCGAAGGGAGCGAGGTTTTAATGAGCATCCCGTCTGCCCGTGTGCTTTCATCTCGAAACAATCCTGGGGGCCTTAAGCGACTGAAAATGGTTGAATTCCAGAGTTCTTAGAATGATGTTAAGTTTTCATGACGTTTTGAGTATATACCAGTGCTTTTGATGCATGACAGACCATAAGTTCCATCTTCGAAAACTTGTTCACCACATATTATATACTTGTGAGGGACATCGATTTTACTACCAAATCTTAGGGCAGTACAAATACGAAAACAATATTGTAATCAACGAGTAGAGTTTGCTGGAAGGGTATTGAGCCATGCATTTGCTTCTAGACAACGGAAGGCATTAAAGCGTGAATGACTTGAATCGGAGTTAGGATCTAGTCCTTCGACAATCTTAATGATATTGATTTAGTCCTAATTTAGTTGCGTTGAGGAAATTGACGGAGTTAACTCATTCCACAAATTCATACGATATCCAAGTAGAGTCTGAGTCTTGGAAGGTTTAATTTATATTAAACACAGAGCAACTTAGAGGAAAGGACGCGCAAAATCCAATAACGAGAGTTTTATTTTTTGACGTGGATTCTGGAATTTTAAGAACAACGTGTTGTAACGGATGTTACAGATTAACCCTCCTACTTCTTGTGGTTGATAAAATTGTGTGTGGTTCTTGTTGTATATTTATATTAATATGCCTCGGCTGCTCGTCGGTTAATAATCCTCTTCTCGCCTCAAGAATAAGAAGTAAAGGATAAATAATAAATCAATATTCTTTATAAAGTGAATTTGTTCTTATCTTTATTAAAGTTTGAATTCGTTCATATTTTTCTTAAAGTATCACCACGAAATGTTCTCTTGTTAGGTTTGTGTTCCCAGTTGCTGTTTTTTCCGATTTTTTATTGTGCGGGAGTTTTCGACATTACCTACAACCACAATAAAATTTGAATAAACCACACTTTTCCTAGTTTATTGTTGTTCCTTGGTATTTTTGTTACATTAACAGCCAAAATAGTTGCAGCGTTTTCAGTTAAAATATTAACAAAACCCACATTCCAGTGTTTCTAGCTGTCGTAAGTTTATGATGCAATATAAGGAATTAAAATGGACACAATTACCTAACCATAGGTTCTAACGGAAAATCGGAAAACAAGGAGTTTTAATGTGTTTTTAGGGTAATTGGACACTGCTGAATCCGATTTTACCTGCTACCAGCGTGTTAAGGACTCAAATAAAGATGGCGGCGAAAATGGCGACTAAAACTCACTTTAACATATTTTTCTTGTTGAAAACAAAGATATTGTCATGATTATTATGTAACACATACCTTTTTCAACTTCTTACTATTTTAAGAAAAATTTTGAACCCAAAAAATTTAAGATGGCGGCTGAAATGGTGCTCCAATATCGCATTTTGTAGTATTCCTAATTTATTTTACCATAAGTGAGCAAAATAATTATAATTTGTTTGCAAAGTGAAAAAGAAATACAAAAACTTTGTTTACAGTTTTTCAAAAATGGCGGAAAATATGGTGCTTAGTTTGACTCTTTGTATGCGATATAGGGGTAGTATTAAAATAATTATTTTTCGTTTAATTTCATATTATTTATTACCGTATACAAACTCTGTATAAGAGAACAAGTCGAAAACAACAAAATTTTAAAAAAAATGAATGACCAAAACACTGGCACTTCTTCTGCACTCTTTCTTGCAACCACTATGTACCAAACTCCAAGGTTTGGAGAATGGGTTGCAAGCCATCATCATTATTCCAACCACACTCCGTTGCAGAAGACAGAGATTGGGAAGCAATGTCAGTTTTTTGTGTCTGAAGTTGGTGGTAAATCTTCGGATTTTTTTGTTACGTCAAATAACTCATGCCTTGTCTCATGAAGGGTGGTACAGTTTCCGACACAGTTCAGTCTAACCATAAATTCCTCAAACCTTTTTAGAGTAGGTATCCTCTGAAAGAGGATGAACACCAAGTCCAGTGGGTGAGGCAGCGTATTTTTTGCATACTCGGTAACTCACTCCGTAAGCTGTTTGTTTTCCAATGCCAGTACTGTAGGAAATGCCAACAGTTGTAGCATGAAATCCAAGAATACCTTCGACCACTGTATTTGGAAGAGCTTCGTAAACTTTATGAATTGGAATGTATTTACTTGTGCCGGATCTCATATAGCACTGAGTGCAACTCATCGATAAAAAATGGTACAGGTAGAAGGAAAACATCGGTGTCTCTTGCTGAAACTACAATTGTCTGGAAGTTAACGAGTTATCTATTCTTCTCAAGAATATCTGACGGAATTTTAATTCCAGTCATCATAGAACTTTACCAGTTCTGATTTTTGACCAGTTCGCAGTGATCCATCATGTGAAGAATCTCGTGCTTTAAAATAGAGGGTGGGTCAACTGCTATTCCTAATAGGCCATTATCACTCTTTGAAGCATGCTTATATCGTCCTTCCTTTTTTTACGTTCAGTAACAACCTCTTTGTTTTGTACAAGACTTTAAATGTTAAAGGTCGATTTAGTTTCACCTTTTCATGCAAACTAATAGACTTTTTGTCACCAAGGCGTTGTTCCACAAATTCACAAACATGTTTTCTTCCCTCTTTTTCACCAGTGAGTAAACTGTCTTGAATAACTTTAGATGCAGTATCTTTTGAAACAATGTAACGAAGAACATTTGAATGTTTGGGGTCAAACACTTCAAAATCAAGCAACACTTTTAAGATATCTTCCTCACCGCTTCGATCTTTGGTTTTCCGTGCCAAACATTACTTTTGTTTTATTGCAAATTTCACCCAACCAAGGGCCCAACCGTTCCACTGGAAGCTTTGGCATCTGCAAGAATCCCCTCTTGGGCATGGTCGGGATCAATACCGTTAAAAACGCCTGTAGATCGCTTTACTGCAAACTACCCTTTTTTAAATGTATCAAAAATTTGTGGAGAAAGTTACTTCATTTCGCCAAGGTAACTGTCATTGATTTTAGATAACTATAACGGTCGTATCTTGCAATCATTTTGGGAACCGTTTTGTTTTATTTTTTTCGCAAATTGTCACTAATAACAATGATTGGTAGACAAACTCATTTTAATCCATTTGTACCAACCCCATATAAGAAAATGCAAGTTTTCTTTGCAATTAAAGAACACAAGTTTCGACTGCCATTTTGATCACCATCTTGGTTTTTTGACTACACATTTTTTATAAGATAGTAATAAATACTAAATAGTATGTACTAGATAAAAATTATGATAATATCTTTGTTTGCAACAAGAAAAAAATGTTATGACGTGTTTTAGTTGCCATTTTGGCCGCCATCTTGGTTTGGGACTTTAACAGCCGGATTTCGAGGCGTATTCAGCAGGGTCCAATTATCCTAAAAACACTCAAGATTTGCCGTTAGAACTTAAGATCTCAAAATTCTCGTATGAACTACCATGAAAGGTAAAATAAATTGTAATTTGATTCTATATTCAACGTGCCAAACAAAACTCTTTATTAATACAGCCTGCATTACAACAATTTTTCTCAGGTAAGTATGACAAAACAAGTGGGTAGTAGCTGTGACCGAACAAACATGTTTTCCAAATAAATCGTTTAGAATTTTCATGGCTTCTTTGATTAATTTCTCAGGGGTTGCGAAAAAAAGCTCATCTCTCCCACACATAACGTTATGTAACTTATTATATTTTCGTATCCTTTCTACTAACCAATTTTTTTGACATAGGTACCTACAACTTTACTAAAGTTTTTTGTAAACCTACACACTACGTAATCCGCAAAATAAAAACTTCTGGACGTGTCAAACGAGAAATAAATTTATTTTCAAACTAATTTCAACTCTACGAACTTAAGAATCGGGCTGGCATAACAATGTGGCAAGTTGTATAAAGTCGTTCTATTCCTATAAGAGGTAGGTAAATATCCTGAGTTGCGTGACACGTGGCGGGTGTATGTAATGGGGTATATACTATAATCTCACTATAATCTCACTATAATCTCAAATAAGTATATATAACTGTCATTATAAAGACTAAACCATTGATACGGCTAATGTTAGAATTATTTATAGTACCAGGGAATGTGTTATCATTAATATATACCCTTCCGAGTATACCAAATGTTAACAAAGAATCGTGTCGTTTTGTGGTGATTAAACTAACTTCTATTTCGTGACGGGCAATCTGCTCTGTACAATACAAGTAATCGGTGGCAGGAGTTAAATCAAACTTCAAAGTTGAAGGCTGGTAGTGAGCGTGGTCTGGATTAAACTGCCCTTTAATCGATATACTTTCAAAACTTACACCCGAAGGTGAGAGCAAGTTTCTTCCACCACAAGATTGGTTACTTTCATCCAAGCAGGCGACGAGCCCACAAATGCGTTCCCCTACCGTCTTTGATGTACCATACTTTGTCACACCAGAAAAGGCAACTAATCTGAAAATAATTCCGTTATGAAACTTGGAACCTTCGTCTCCTGTACAGACGTACTTGTAAATGTAGTTTTGGAAGACAGTCGTGTGCT